AAAGAAGCTGTTGGTCACAGCAGACCCCTGGCCATATACCCCTCCCTGGCCACACTCCTGAGGTCAGCACTAGAGTCCTGCATGGCATGGGGTCAAAGCTTCCATGGAAGTGAGGGCACAATCCTTTGAAGCCATGGCTAGTGGCCATGTGTCCCTGTCCTGGGGCATGAAAGCCTTGACACCTCTCTTTGGCCATATGATGGGGAAGCTTACTTACCTCCTCGGCCCCTGCACTTGGCTCTGTGTCATGGGAGCAGCAGCCCTCTGCCTATTTACCTTCACTTGGCTTCCTGTCCATTCAAATTCTGGTCAGCCTCAAGGTCTAATTGCCTTATAATGTGGCCTTGGGACACCATGGCTAGTGGCCCAGTCCAGCTGCACAGCTTAGTCCCCTATGTCCCCTGTCCTAGCCCCATGTCCTCCGCTGCACTTGCCCTCCCTGACCCATCGCTCTCTGCCCACAAGCAGGCCCCACAGGATGGCTGCCAGGGCCCCTCACCCAGCTGCAGGGGGGTCCCCAGCCAAGCCCACCACTCACTTGGGTTGTTTGCACGGTTCCGGATGATGTACTGAAACACCAGAAGAGAGAGAACTGTCGCCACTATCATCCCTGCCACCGCGGCCCCAATCACGGCAGGGTAGGCGTTGAAAGGTGGATCAGCTGGAAGAGAGTAGGCTAGTGTTCAGCATAGTGCAGCCGGCGCAAGGGAGGTCTGTGTGCCAGAAGCCCATGCGAGTGGGGAGGGTGGTAGAGCTGTGGTTTAACTGCCCAGCTGAGGGCCATGACACAAGCTGTACAGCTCCCTGCTGCAAACGGCTTCAGCCTCAGATGCCTCAGGCCAGCTAAAGGGGGTTGGTTGTACACACTGGTGTCATGCTTCACTGAGCTCCTGTTCCAGCTCTCCTGTCAGGAGGCACCCCAGCTCAGCGTGCAGCACTGTCCAGGCTTTGCTATGCTGCAGTGTCAGTGGAAGCAATGTCCTCCCCGAACAAGGACCTCTCAGCACATCACCAGTAGGAATTAACCCTCACAAACCCTCCATGCAGGAAATGGTATAATTTCCGCCTCAGCCTGAAGCACAGAGGCAAGGAGACTTGCCAAAGGCCATTTAGTGAGTCAGTGGCAAAGCACAGAACCCAGGCATCAAGCCCGCCCTAGACCTGTGCTTCAACCACTGGAGTGAAGCTAGTCCTATTCAGGGCGCTGGTCAGAGGTCACAGCCACTCCAACATGGAAGAGATTCTGGGCATGTATTTCCTCCTGTGGGAGCTCGGATGCATAAAGAGCACCCCAACATTGAAAGTGGGTATTTTGTTCAAATTGCTAGATCACTCCTCATGCCAGCTGGGGTCACCATGGGCTCCTGCCCCATTCTTTGATTAAAACCCAATGCAACAGGTTGGATCTGTGCAAAGATAATTCAGTGCATGACACTCGCTCCTTCTCCCTGAGGGCTGCAGGCAAGTTAGTGCTAGGCTATTTTATGAGCTAGGGAATAAATAGAACATGGGTATCCTGATTCCCAGCCCACCTGCCTCTCTGCGGTGCCACCTGCCCACACGGCCTGTTGGCTGAAAGATGAGGGTAGCAGTGGCAGGAGTGATGCCATTGGACTGGCAGACATAGTGGTGGCAGTGCAGGGCAAGCTGCCCCTGTCTCCCCTGCCACAAGAAGAGTAATCATCAGCTGCTTTCTTTTTCTATCTCAGACTCAGGTGAGCAGCCACCACACCCAGCACCAGCCAAAGGAGAGAGTGTTTAGTTTTCACTGTAGCTCATATCTCTTCAAACAAGAGCCATCTCTTGGCATGGTTGGTCCTGCAGAGCACTCAAACCTCCCCCAGCTCGTCCAACTTCTGTTAACATGAGGGAGTGGCCAGATCAGACTGAAACACTGGGTTCAGTCTGCACAGCTAGATGGTCAAGAGAAGTCCTCTTGAAGGCATTTGTAGACAGCTCCCATGCCTAGTGGTGTGGCAGGACACAGTGGTGGCTCAGGCCTTTCTCTGCACTCAAAGCCGTGGTTCTCTTGCCCTGGAGCACCCCTGGGCAGCCCTGTACAGACGACTGAATCTTCCCATGACCCCACCTCCTGCTGCCTGCTCTGTTCTGCTCCGACTGGGGAGCCCTCTGAGGCAGGACTGTCCTGCACTGTGCATATTGAGCATCTCAGAGGCACTGCGTCCCCTCCCTGCTGTGAGGATCCCTCTGCGAGAGAATTACTGCGCTTTTAAATAAACTCTCTTCAGCAGCTGCTCCTGGCCCTTCTGCTCTGCCGTGGGCTCCTTGCTGCAGAGGCCCCATCTGGTTTCAATATCAGCTGTTTTTTCAGAAAAATCACTCATTGTTTTCTTTTGCATTTCATTTTCATTTTGCACCTTACATGAGCCGCCCCCAGCTGGACTCAGGCATGTTTCCACAGCTGTTGTCCTTGTGGAGAGCTCAGCCACGGCTTTTCGCATGGCTTCAGCATGGTCTGACCAGAACTTACAGCACCAAGCTGTCAGGACCTCTGATTTCCATTCCCAACTCTACTACTGACTAGAAGAGCAGGCTGGACTGCCAGTAAAATTCCTGGCCTATGCTTCAGTGTCCCCATCTGCACAATGACTCTTACCTTCAGGGAGGAGAGAGCCATGTGGTTTAAAGCTTGCCGGTGAAAGGGACCAGAGAAGGACAAAGCATCATTATGTTTTCCATCTGCAAAGCAAGGGTTTGCTCTTCCTTCTCTTGTGTAAAGAGCTGTTGCTTCAGCCTCTCTCCTGCTCACATCCTCCACCTCCAGGATACACTGGTGAAAATGAGCACTCAGCTAGGATGATCTAGTTGGGGATGCCCTGCTTTGAGGAGGGTTGGACTAGATGACCTCCCCAGGTCCCTTCCAACCCTCATTTTCTGTGATTCTATGATTCAAACTAGCTCCCTGCTGGAGGCTCCCTAGGGTCGTGGTGCTGAGAAAGATCTGAAAATATGTCCCTATCCTGAAAAGTGACTTGGACAACACTGCAGCACAGCTGTCTGTATTCAGCTTATGGGTAAGAGGATGGTTTCCCTAACTGCTCTCCCTGCAAACTCTGCCTGAGATGTGAGGATGAACGTAGACAGACAACACTTAAGCTGGTATAATTTGCCCTGTGGTGAGTTAACCCTTGACCCTGTCAAGAGGCACTCTACACCACATGAGTGTAATCTTGCTGCTACATTTTTTTACACTGGTGCAATGATTGTGGAGCAGGCTGCAGCTCCCTCTCCGGCACTGAGCTGGCTCTAGCAGGGGCACTGACTTGAGCTGTCAGCTCTTTGGGGTCAGGCTGTTCGCTCCTCAGTGCTACCACAATACAAATATTAATTGTTATACTTCTCAGGCCTTTCTTTGGTCTCTACAGCCAGCATATTTGAGTGGCAGGTGCTGGGGAAGATACTTGGAGGTGACTTGGTTGAAAAGTTTACGTCAAAATTTTAAAATGGCTTTTCAGGAAAGATTAAGTATTTTTGTGAAAATCCAGCACCATATTTGCATAATATTTCTTTGTCAAAACAGAAATGTTTGTTTGTTTTTTGATGAACCCCTTCCCCAAAAACTTAAGGAAAAGTTTGACAGAAACCAACATGTTCTTTGTTTTCACCAAGGGTTTGATCTGGAACAGAACTCACTTCTAGGAAGCAGGGAGGCAACATGTTATAGTCACTTCTCAGGGCAGAGCTACACTTGAAAACGATTGTCCTTCTCCAGGGATTGCAAGGGACTTTAAACCAATCCTTTAAATAATGGAGCCAAGTGTGGTAGGAAATGCCCAGACCTTTCTCTGAGCCAAAGTGACTTAGAGCATTCTCCTGTTCTCTTTCCTACTTAGAGCAAATGCAGTGTGTGGGATGGTATGTTGCACATTAGTGACACCAAACCAAATTGCAGCCAGCATCAGGGCTTTCAGAAGTCAGACAAGCAAGCAGAGTAATTTCTTGGTGATGATATCTGGAGATGCGGGGTGAGGCACACTTCCCAGGAAGGGATTATAGTTGGCAGGAAAGATTAACCAAACCGTGCAATTAAGATAATGAACCGATGGGGAACAGAAATGACAATCACATTAAACCTTCAGATAAAAGTTCTCTTCCAGACCACACTGTACAGCTCCAGGGACCAGAATCCACTCCTGATCTCGTATGCATCTGGAGCAGTTAGGACAATACAAGACGAGAGCGGGAGGTTGGGCCAAGCAGAAAGCAGAGGGAGAAGCAAGAAGAGCAGAATGAAGCCCAGAGGGTGGAAGGCAGAGGCCTGGAGAGAAGAGAAGGCAGCAGGAGTTCTTCCTGGTTATCCTGACTCCTTCCCAGCCCTGGCATCCTATTGCCCTGGATCTCCTCTTATCCAGCCATGACTTAGGAGTGAGCTAAAGAAACAGGTACTGAACTGAACCTCACAACTGAGAGAAAAGCCTTGACCTGTAACTCCATGAGGCATCAGTGCTCAACCCAGGAAACATGCCAGCCCAGCTCTCACATTCACATAGCATGCCCTTGTTTCTGGAGCAGCACATTTTCTAGAGGTCCTTGTAGCGCCCTGTCCAACTAACCACTTCCAGTGGTGGGTCTGCTTGGTGCTGCTCCCCAGCAGCTATTACTGCTGGAGGGCAGAGCCCTGGGCCCGAGCCCTCTTAGCAATGCTCAGGAGAAGCCACCTCGCCCTGCTCAAGACCCTCCAGGAAGAGCCTGCCTTCCCAGCCTTCTCAGTACCATTCTGAGGCCTCAGGGCATCTGACTAAATGTTCTGCTGGGATCCTGTCCTAACCAACAGCATCCTGGTATTGCACTCCTGGAGCTCCTCTCACTGATCCACTGCCATCCCTCAGTCCTAATTCACAGCTGCCCCTGTCATTCCAGCCCTAGGCTCTTCTCCCAGACCCCTTGCGCTGCGTTGGCAAGGATCCGACATTCTCCAAGTCCAAAGCGTTTGGTGTCTGTGAGCAGTTGTACCCAGCACCACAAAGGATCCTGTTCCTGACAACATGTAGCAAGGCTGATGAACAGATCAGCGCTGTCACATGAGGTTGTTCCCACACTTCACCTACAGCAGGCCCTGCACCACACTGACCTGTACAGTTCAGCTACACCCCTCCATGCACACCAATGCAATTGCTTTGCCCATGCCCCAAGCTCCCAACACTGCCCAGGTAATGGGAGAAGGCCAGGCCTGGATATCCCATTCAGCCTGTCCTACCTGTTGCAATTCACATGAAGGCACAGCGGTATGCTCTCCTGTCCTTTCATCCTGACGTGACAGGGATCCTCAGGGAAGGGGAGGGGTGTTCAGATAAATAGGGCTCAGATGCAAACCTGCTAGGTTCTTTCTTTCTGTCCAACTGGAACAAGAAACAGGGCTTCCAGGCACAACCCCACTCTCCACAGTCCAACATGCTCCACCCAACAGGAGCCCCACCAGGTATCCCAGCCCCATGGGACGGGATGGGGTTCTAGACACCTGACCTATGGCTGTGGATCAGGGCTGCAGTAGGGGCCCTGGCAGAAGGTCCAGGGATCCAAAACTGTCCTAGTCACTTCACCTGGTGTCTTCATCTCGGAGGGGTGCCCGGTGGTGCGGTGGTTGACAGCCAGGATGCGGAAGGCATACACCATTGCCGGGTCCAGGCCGCCCAGCCGGTGGTCCCGGATGTCAGGCTCGATGTCGCTGGCCACAGTTTCCCAGAGGCTGTCCACTGACCTGGACGAGTTTGAGAAGGTTCTCTTTGTGTCTCGCCGCTGGACCATGAAGCCAGTGAGGTTCCCTGAACCCTGCGTCACCCACTCCAGCTGCACCTCAGTGCGCTGCCGGGTGTACATCAGCTTGCTGATTGTCACGTTGGGGGGCACCGGGTACTCTGCAGGTAGACCAGGCATCAGCTTTGCATCCAGATACTCAGAGCCCTGCACAAACATCCCCACACAGACCCTATACTGTCATTCATGGGCTACATACACAGACATGCACACACACACACACACACACACACACACACACACACACACACACACACACACACACACACACACACACACACACACACACACACACACACACACACACACACACACACACACACACACACACACACACACAGCCATATACATACACAAGTGTATTTGTACAGGCACACACAGACCCTGCACAGCTGCACGTACATGGCATGCAGATGTGCACAGCATGCACACTTCATTTCAAACACACTATTGCTTTCTCACAGGCTCTCTCTTTCTTCTCAGTCTCTCTTTCTCTCATCAACATGCATGCACACTTACTCAGTTCAGTGTCTAATTAGCAGATTAGGCAATAAAATGCTGCACCTGCCCAACTGACTTCAGAGTGAGAGGCGCCTGGCTCAGCCTAGTCCCTGGAGCCTGGGCAGTGCCAGAGCCCCCATGACTTCACTCACTGTCATGGAAACTGAGAGGGCAAATGGAGCAGGAAACCCTGGGATTTGCAGTCCCCATCACCCCACAGTCCTTGGGGAGTCCAGCAGCTGGATGCTGTCATTGTTCAACCTTCCAGCAAGCTGCATGCAAAACAGACCAGCAACTAACCCAGCCAAGACAGCTCCTTCTGTCCCCTGACTCCATCCTGTCTCACAGGTCCCCAGCACAAATGTAACCCAATTCTCCACCCCCAGAGCCTCCATACACTTCCCCTTTGCCTGCCCTCACCACCTTCTGTTCCCTACAGCTCCCAGCCTGCTCTTGTCCCTTGTCCCTCCAGCCCCAGCTATTGGACATGGCTCTATGTTTCCCAGGAACTTCTTACTTTTCACATGGAGGCTGATGGGGAGGCTGGTGTTGCCCACAGCATTCACGGCTGCACAGCGGTAGATGCCACTGTCACTCGGCCACTCCGTGTCCCGGACGGTCAGCTTGAACCAGGTGCCACTCTGCTGCAGCCTATATTTTTGAGCATCTGGTCTGATCACTTGGTTCTTGTTGTTGTACCAGAAAACTTCAGAGCCCAGATGGGGCCCTTGCAGCATGCAGCCCAGCTGGACCTCGTCACCTTCAAATAGCGACACCTCAGTGCTCTCCGCCACCAGCCTGGGGGCTTCTGTACAAAAAGAGGGTGAAAGGGAAGAGCAGCTCTGGTGAGAAGGGGTCTCTGGGGCAGTACATTTCAGTCTGAATAGAGCTGGGGTAAAGGTGGCCCTGCTTATCACATGGGACTAGGGCATGTCACTCAGAGCTAACAGCTGCAGCAACCAGAAGTCATATGTACTATCTTCTGGTTGAGATGAGGTCTGCAGAGCCAACCTGGCCTGAGGGAAAAAGTTGGGTTCTGTCCCTATGACCCTGTAAAAGCAAACTCATCCTAAGGAGAGAGGCCAGCCTTTGTCCCTGGGACCTCTGAAGAGCTAGCCTAGCCTGGGGACAGGGAGCTGCGGTGAATTCTGGATCTGGAGTCAGCAATGGGTTTGTTCAGTAATGTCCAGTTGAGGGGACGAATGCCAACCCCTGCACTTTCTGAGCAAGGGTCACTGGAAGGAGGGGCCTGCTGAGCCCTCATGACAATTTGGGAATCAGTGAGAGACATGGGCAGATCCAGGACTGTGGCCAGAGCATATGGGCATACCCCCTTTTGCAGTGTGGTGAGAGACAACTGATGTGGAGGGCCTTGTAGCTGTTCTTACAGTGGCTGTATAGAGCAGAGCTTCACTTAAAACTTCAGCCCAAATGCACCCTCCCTTCTGCCACGTGACAGATAGCCAGCGGCACATGCACAGGTGTCAAGCATGCTGGCAAGCTGGCCCCACCTGCTGTACTATGTTCACATGGCAGCCTCCAGCCACTAGAGAGCCCTGTACTTCCTGACACGGGAGCAGACCTGATTGCTTCCAGCACAGGGCAGCAGCGTGTGCATGCACACATGGACGTGCTGGAAGGAGCGAGTGCTCCCATTACATGAGTATCACAGTGACCCCAGCATCCAGCTCAAGACTTGTCTTTGCAGCTACACTTAGTAAAAGCCCCGAGTGCTGTGGAAAAATGTTGGCCTAAGAATTTGATTGGTTTCATGGCATGGTTTCTACCTAAAAGCTACTTGTTCCCTTGTGCTGTATTTCATCCTTGTTGGCTCACGAGGGAAGGACCAAACTCCTTGCTCCTACAAAGTGTCCCTGTTCTCTGCTGCTGCCAGTGTCCACACCACCCACATGCGCACCACATCAGCCCTGGGAAGTTGGTTCACCTCCAGCAGTGAAATGTGTTTGAAGCAGAAATAAAGAATCCAGAAAGCTAGGGCCTAGGCAGGGTGGTTTGTACTGGAGGAATGAATTTCCTGCATCAGTAATTTGTGTCTTTATCTCATATCATGCCCTCACTCGGCTTGCAGGAGCCTGTGAGTTTTGGCATTGCCATAAATGTGGAGCTGGGTCCACATAAGCATCACTCAAGCTTGAGGGAGCTTTCTCCAAAACTCCATTGGCTTCATGCCGCAGGCTGTGAGCTGGATCCACGGGGGCTCCATTTTCAGTGCTGTGGTGAACATACACTGCCACTCACTCAACTAGAACATGCCTTGGCTGCTTTGCCCTTAATGTCCTAATCTGTTCCCTGATGATCCAGCCTCCCCCCATCCTCTTAGCATGTGGTTTCCCAGTGATTTCACTAATGAGACATGAGCACTTGTCATGCCACATCATTCCTTGTGAGCACCTTTGGACCGGGGCCGGCCTGCTTACCCAGCTGGATGCGGCACTCTATTGCTCTGGCCCGGAGAGGGTGGGCTGCGATGCAGGTGAACTCCTTGCCGCCCAGGCTGCTGTTGGACTTCATGACGTAGATGTTGCTGGACTGTTTCAAGCCCCCCAGCACATGGTTCCTCCAATCTCTCCACCAGAGTGTGACACGGGGCATCCCCCCTTGCCAGTTGCAGGATAGCATGAGGAACTCATTCTGCTTGGTGGCCATAGCAGAACAGGTGGGGTTCCCAGCAGGGGCCCCTGCCAGGGCAGAGCAAACAGTATCTTAGAGACAAACATCCCTGACCATGTCCAAATCTGACCTGAAGAGACCCTGTGCATCCTGGCAGGTAGGACCCCCAGCTTTCTGCTCACCCCAGCTCAGCCCAGACAGCTGGTGGCCTAAGCCAGCTCAAAACCTCTGGTGACAAGGGCAGAGCCATACAGTGTACAGCCCTGATTTACAAGCTGCCCCTAATGCCCCTCATGTAAATCAGGGGGGACTCCACAGAAGCTCCTAGAGCTTGCCCAGAGTGCCCTGTGAGAGTAGAAATGGGTCCAAAGCTCAGACCTCTGCAAAGACAAGATGCCAAGGCTCAGCCAAACATATGTGGGACTCGATTCTTACAGATCCAGGCCTCAACAGGCAGTGTATGGCACAGTCTCTCAGGACTTGAGTTATCTTGTCATGACGGCAATGCCTGGTGATAAAGGGAGCAGGAAAACTACCCAAAGTCCCTAGTGCTCCTGAAGTGCAGGGCATCTGCTTCATAGGCAGTATTTTCTTCAGAACCAAAACTGTTTCACATTTCCCATGAATGGGAAATCCCGATACAATTTCATTCTGAAAACAGTGAAACAGCAGTGCTGCACCACCATCAGGGGGACTGACAAGCAAGCCAGCCCTGCTTCCAAGGCCTGTGTCTTTAGGAGAGTCCCTCCAGAGGACTTCTTCATAGCTGGGGTCCCAAAGCTTCCAGTGTTCCCTGCTTTGCAGCACAGGAGCTAGGTGTCCTGTCCCAGGGCCAGGGGCCCCACCCCAACCAGCTTTATTTCATACTCATGGAGACACCCCTGGCTGTCCTTTGAGGATCCCAAGCCCCAGTTTGGTGACCTTGTACCTGTCTGGTGCACATAGCAGCTTCTGCATCTTACACCAAGGACATGCCTGGCTCACAAAACCTTTCACCCAGTCTGTTTGTCTGAAGCCACAAGTATTTATCTCTTGGCACCATGTTGGTTTGTGGCAACATGATGGAGAACATCTCTGAGAGCCACCATCGCATTGTGCAAGATTACTATGTGATATGCAGAGCAAGGGGGCCTCTGCAGGTTTTGGACAGGATTTGGGGGCCTGTCAGCACCTTGCAAACAGAGCTCCTTGAAAGCAAAGTGATTTTTGCACAGGGCTGGGTAGCAATGGTGTTATTTTTACCCACAGTGCAGTTTTCCTGGGCTTAGCTGGGTACAAAGGGTGATGGTACTTACAGACAGTGGTCTTGCAGACAGCCTTCTCCCCGATTCCTGGGTGGAAAGCCAGGCAGGTGTACATGCTGCCATTCTGGATGTCCATGCCTCGCTGGATGCTGGTGGCATTGGAATAGGCCACCCCGGTGTTTGCTTCCTGGCTGGATTTCACCCACCGCAGCTGCACTGGGGGGAACCCACCAGGCCACAAACATTGCAGAGCAATGTCCTGGAAATTGGAGGCAGGGAATGGAGTGCAGCTGGGCTTCCCGTGGGGCTGATCTGTGCATGGGCAAACACTGAATCAACAGCAAAAGGAGCTAGCGATGCCAATAATAATATGGGGGCCACCTGCAATGCAGCTTTCCTGCCCAATGCTGTCATAAGGACACAAGGGGCAGAGAGCTGGACCCAACACCCTGAGCTTCTCTGTCACATCACATCTGGCCCAAAAAGGGTCTGCTCTGCCCAGCACATGGTTCCAGGGACACTTGCTGACAGTGTAATCCAACAGCAGCTCTTCAGGCAGGTGACAAGTTGTGAGTATCATATTCAGTCAGCAGCTTCCTCTGCTGACACCACTCTCTTCACCCTCATGATCCCCTGCCTGTCACCATCCACCCAGTCCCCATGGCTGATCCTTCCAGCTTTCTGCTCTGGGACGAGTTTCCTGCCCATTTCCTAGGATCCCTACACAACAATTCTTCCATCCCACACTCCCAGCTACCCAGCCTGTCCCCCGGCCCCCCCAGTAGGTACCACAAAAGGGTGCCAATGGTCTCTCTCCAAAAATCCGCTCCTTCACATGGCTGGGGAGTGTTTGAGGCCCAGTCTATGTGAAGAAAGAAGAGGCCAAGAACAAGCTGCTGGAAAAGGGGTCTCAGGACTTACAAGGGATCACATTTTCCCCAGTCTCTAGACAATCTGACTAGATTTGTGAGGATCTAAGTGCAGTGCACATCCCAGAGATGCATCAAAGGAGCCCTTCCAGGCAAAAACTTGGGCTACAAACCGAGTGGACACTTCTGCACAGCTATCCAACACTGCAGCTGCTGCAAATATCACTGAATACTCCCTCTTCCATGTGATAAATGGCTAGATGACCGGCTGGGGTCACTCACAACACAACCCCTCTGCTCTTGCCAGGCAGCCCCAGGCAGGCTAGAGGAGTCTGACCCGAAAACACAATGCCTTTGCCTACATGCAAGACAGCACAGTGAACACCACTGCCAAAGGGCTACTGGGATCCCCTGCTCTCTCCACTTGCTTTACACCTTGAATATTGTTGGCTATCCTCACAAGGGGACTTTTCTGGTGTCTCACTGAACAAATCCCCAGACAGAAATATCTTGATTTAAGAGGACAGACGGCCCTCTTTATGCCATCTGCTAAATCCCTTCAGCATTCTCCTGGTACCTCCTTAGCTAACAGATAGCCAGCTAGATGCATCAGAAAGAAAGGAAGCAAGAGTGGGGGAAGATGCAGCAGACAGAGGAAAAGAGACAAGGCAGGAATGTGGCTGCACTCTGGAGAAAACACATGTGGGCAGGATGCATGGCCCCTGGGAGAGACACACGGTACTTACAGTAGACGGTGAGGATGATGGTGGTCTGAGTGCGTGTGTTGAGGTGGATGTTTTGGGCCAGGCAAGTGTAAGTGCCTGTCTGAGTCCGGGAGATCTTGGCTATCACATATTTCTGGCCAGAGTAGACCTGAGAGCTGTTGTAAAACCAGAGATAGTGGCTGGGTGGGTTAGAAGAGGCCAGGCAGGTCATGATCACCTCCTCCTGCTCGTTAGCTGAGAAGCCATTATGGTTAATAGCAAATGGCTCAATACTGATCACAGGTTCATCAGGGCCATCTGAAAAGCAAAGGAGGAGGCCAGTAGCAATAGGCCCCAGACAGGGAAGGGCAGGAGCTCTGCTCAGATGAACGGTCAGGAACTGGGCTTTTTAACTGGATTGCAGTGGTCCAGGAGTGGGACACGGTGAGTTCCTCATGAGACCCTTTGGAAAGCATGGCCTAGCAGCGCTGGGGCAAGGCGGGGTTATGCCTAGTGTGGGTGGGCCAGATTCTTGCTCTTGTTCTAAATCCTCAGTCCCCCTCAGATGCCCAAAGAGCCTCAGACTGACATGATGATGCTAGTGCCATGTGCCAAGAAGCATCTGGGAAGCCAGCCCAAAGGGTCATGCCTCAGAAGCTGACTGAGGGGCTTGCGGGAGAGAGGGCTGGAGAGGCCTGCTTCATAACAGGGTTATTTTCTCAGGAGAAGCTCTTTTGTGGCCCAGTTCTGGGAGATACTGAGCACCTCTGGACCCAGAGGCCATAGCAGGACTTACAGATAATTTGCAGGAATGGGCCCTAGAAGGGATAGTTTGAGATCTTGCCAGAAATACAGTGGGGAGAGGGTTGTTGGCACTGTCAGTGCTGACAACTTACAAATGACATCAAGATACATGGGCTCGCTGGTCTGGCTGTTGATTTCATTGAGGGCAGTGCAGGTGTACCAGCCCATGTGTGTCCGGTTGGCTGGGCCACTGGCAGTTTCAGCCACAGTCCCTGTGCTGTCCCGACTGGTGTAGTGGTGCCAGGAGTACCTGAGCGGGGGTGTCCCCTCCTTCACAGAGCATGTCATCATGATGGCCATACCTTCTACTGGTGTAGAGTTGTTCATTTGGAGGAAGGGCTTTGAAACAGGAACTAGGAGAGACCAAGAACAGGGCTCAGATGTGATTTAACCCATCAAATGTGGCCCCTTTATTCATGTTGCCACACCAAACCACCTCTCCCCACCCTGCTGCGCCCACAGGCCCTTCATTCTGATAGCCCATTCGACTCCAGACCAGCCTGCCCCTGCCTGCTCTGCCACCCACCAGGATGGGCCATTCCAGGCTCTCCAGTCCATTCTTTTCAAATCTAGCCTTTACTGTTCTAAACCAACCAGTGATAATGATGTTACTTGCATATAGGGCCCTCTCTACACAATGTGACAAGGTGCTAGAGAGAGGACACTGGCTAGCGAGGGCAGGAAGGTTCGGAGGGGCATACAGGAGACAGGCGCAGCTCAGGTCCTCATAGGAGAAGCCCTTCACACTGCAGCCACTGAAGAACCTGCCTCCCCAACAGACTGTGGCTTAGGAGGTTGCAGGGGAGAGGGAGGATGGGGCAGCAGGAAGGGGCTGTTACAGCACTGCAGAGAAAGACTGTGTGGGGTATGGTAGAGGACAGCTTTGCCCTGACCCCCTCAGGGAAGCCAAACTCTAATCCCATCTTGCCTCACCTGGTGAGACTCCTGCAGGGCACCCAGAGCTCTGTATCCAGAGTAGGTGCTTGCTCTCGCTGGACTTTGCTTTGCCCAGCCCCTCAACCACAGAACTCTATGAGGGATGTTTTTAGCATCCAGCCCATCCCCCTGTGCTCTGGCATCACAAAGTCTGACTGTTGGTAATGTGCCACCATCCTGGTGTCCTTGTAAGATCCTAGGGGCCCACTGTCTGGTTGCAGGGTTGCCAACACTCACAGTCTTGTGATATTTGGTGTTTCTCATAAAGCACCAGCTCTTGGAGTCAGCTGACAACATGCGACTCTCAGCCTTCATTAGCAAAAGTAAGTGCCTCATTTGTGAGCTGAGGAGCAACTCCTGCAAACTTGCCTCAAGAGACTTTGGGCCCTGGCAGATGTTAATTCAATCGCACGACTGAGATCTGACAGATTCTATCCAGGAGCCCAACATGCACATGTCCTGCCCTCCCAAACACGCAGGACACAAAATTTATGGGATCCAGGATAAAATTTGTCAGATCCCTGGTGCATGCCCAGACCTTCAAAGGGCACCATGAGAAACACCGCACCAGAAACCAAAGCACCCTTTCAATTTGCCAGCATGTGGAGATCCTGGTATCAGAGAACCATTCCCTGATGTTGGGCTCCCCATGAGCTCAGACATTCAAAAGCATATCAGGGAACCAGTCCCTGATGCTGGGCTGCCCAGCTTGCTTTTAAACATGCCAGTGGGGTGCTCAGCACCCCATGGAGCCACATCCCAGTGCCAGGTTTCCAATGCACCCCGGGTGGCAGCATCCTGGATCTGGGGTCTGCCCCCTGCCAGTCCCCCCAATCAGCTGATCAGTGGGACCCAGGCAAGGGGAAACACCTTATCTGGAACAATGTGGCAGCCTCCTGGGAGCCTAAGAAAGGGGAACAGCTCCCCAGGCTCAGGCTCCAAGGTGCCTGCATGCTACACATTTAAATTAAACTGTAATACTAACCAGTCACAAAGATGTTCCACATTAAATTTCTTGCGTGTGGGGCATGTTGCAATTTATCACATAGTTGACAAGTTAATTGTGAGGTAAAAGTAATGTGTGCCATGGGGCCTCAGAAACTGGATGTTAAATACAAATGGATGGCAGCGCTGCTAGGCTGGGCTGAACCTGGCAGATATAAAGTGGCACTGAACTTCTCATTATTCCTTGGTTACAGGGAATGTCCCTGGGAGCTGTCGGTATGCCCAATATGGTTGTACTGAGAGCTAAAACCCCTGAGAATACAAGCACATATCATGACATTGACAGTGACTGTCCACATCTCACAGCACTGACTTCAGCATAGCGTAGGGGTTCCTGAGCCAGCACTACCTGGCTAGCACAGGCATCAGTAGGAGTCTACCCATGGCAGCACTGAGCTCAGCCCAGACAAATTTACCCAGCTTCTTAGACAGGGTTTGCAGCTTGGCTGCTCCTGGTACCTGTACCTAGTTTAAACTGCAGTGTGGCTACAAGCGCCACATCACACAAGCTGGTGTCTGTGATGGGGTGCAGCTCCAGCTGGCCCTTCCCTGCACACAGTCACAAGCATGAGGCTCACAGGTACCTCTGTTTTCCAGTGCTGAGACCAAGCTTTGCATCACTCAGCTGTTGCGATCAGTGCCTGAGTGCCCACAACACACTGAAAACCTCAGCAAGGTTGAAGCAGAGGTGTGCTTGTGTGGGTAGGTGGAAGGGGGAAAGGAGGAGCATCTCCCTTCTGCTGAAAAGTGCCACTCCTGCTGGCAAGGACTCTGCTTCTAAGTCTTCAGTTCCCAATGCTCAGGGCCTGGTTTCAGAGGTGCTGAGCAGCAGCACTCATAAACATAGCTGGGGGCAGCTGCAGGTAGAGTCCTCAAGACACCCATAGTTCTCCTTTGCCATGATGAGTACAAGGCAGCTGGTGAGCTGAGACCACTGCCCATCACATGCACCAAGTCAGTCTCACTTAAGTCCTCTCTCAGCCCGTATCCCCCTGTTGTTTTGCGTCCAACACTTTGATATTAAATTCCCTCAGAGAGGGACCATTTTTCTCTTCTGTTTTGTGCACCACCTAGCATAACGGGCCCTGGTCTACGATGGGTCCCCTGGGTACCACAGCAAGAGCTGCCCCTCTCTGCAAATCTTGGCTGTAACCTGCTGCCTCAAACTCTCCCTGTGTAAAAGGGTTATGGATCTTCCCTCCCTGAGGGCTGCCAAGTTCTGCGAGCTCCTGTGGGGCAGGCACCCTGCATGTGAGTATTCCTGGAGCAGGGCGAGATCCACCAGCTCTTCCTGCAGTCTATTTTTCCCATTGACTGATGAATAAACCATCCCCAAAACTATAGAAGGGAACAAATTGCAAATCTGTCTCTAACAAGGCATTACTTTTCCAGCTCTAACTGCTACCTCCACTTTTACTTTCTCCTCTATTCTACTCCTCTACTCGACCTGAAGCCCTCCCCCCGGCCCCCCTTGTTACCTCTCTGGTGTTTATAGCATACTTGGACTTTAGTCTGAATAAACACCAAGGATGGGGGCTTGGTCACCTAATATGGCCTGTAACTTTCTAGCCTTCCACTAGGAGCTCATGAAATACTACAGAGGGACAAGATAACTGGAAGACAGTGGGGCAAAGACACCTGCTATTGAAGGACTGTTTGCTTTTGTGGAGGAGGCAGAACCAAGACCAGTGGCTGGATGCCAAAGTGGGATGAATTCAAACTATAAATGAGGCACAGGTTTTTAACAGGGGTGATTAAACCCTTGAACAGACTAACATGGGGAGTGGGGGGCTCTCCTTCTCTTAATGTTTTCAGATCAGGAGTGGGCACCTTTCTTGGTACAAGCTGTCAGTTAAGGGGCAACCTGGTGGAACTAGCCTGTGATACGCAGGTCAGACTAGGTGATCTCAGGTCTCTGAGATGTGGGGCCTTAAACTCTGGGAGTAAATTTGTGACATGCTCCGCTTCCCACAGGGTAGAGCTAGCAGCTAATCCTGGAAATAACAGCAAGCTGCTGTGCACCCGGGGCTAGCAGGAGCACAGCACAGTCACTCCAAGTGCAGGCATTTGCTAACAATGAGTGCAGCCACATTCTTCAGAAAGATAATCTCCCAGCAACCAAGAAGATTGTGACAACTGAAGTTAACCAAATACAGGCAGCAGAGCGCATGCAGGCGCCCACACTGAAACAGGCAGCACACAAGGTGCTGCGCCTGGGACATGCCAGAAGAACACACAGCCCCCAGGAAGCAGCAGAAAACCCTGCTCAGACTCTCCGCCCATACCCCCACATGCAGAAATGCAGGGGTTCAGGTACAGCATTAGAGGTTTGCATGCAGGCCTGGCTGGGTGTCAGGAGGCCCAAGCATAGCTGCTCATATCACTGAAAGGATCATCAGCTGGCATTGCTTTGCACCAGCATGTGTGATGGAGGCAGACTGCAACACAGCTGCTGGTAACAATACTCTGTACAGCAAGGTCCATGAAGAACTTGACTCTCCTGCTGTCCTCACCCTTGCAGTGTCTCTAACCAATATCAGTGCCAGACCCATACAGGAAGGCAAACCCCAGGGGCCCAAGCTGATAATGCCAGTTTGTACTGTTGTCCATAAGATGCTAGGGCCGGGCAAGAGTTGCTTTAGTCTCATATACTCTCCTTCACACAGTCCAGCCCCAAAGGTCTCACTTCAGTTTTGTCTAGGTCAGGGGTGTCCAACCTTTTTGAATGTGCGGCCAGATCATGAATTTTTTATCACCCAGTGGGCCGGTGAGCTACATTCAAAGACCTCACAGGAAGCAGTATCACATTAGGAAGTGATGTCACGTGACCTTTGACACCAATGAAGTTGCAGGAAGTGATGAAACAGGTCTAACCAGTTCAAAACTCTCCCTCTATAGCATCCACCTCTGCCAGTGTTTGGGACAGGATACTGAGCTAGATGGACCATGGGGCTGACCAAGAATGGCACTTTTTATGCTCTTATGTTCTTTGGCTGAGCTTCCAAACTATGGCTGAGATTTGCATAAAGGGGTAGATAGGCATGTTACAAAGTTGTCATAAAAGATTTGGAGCCCTCTAAATCCCGTTCATTTTAATGGAAGTTGGCCTTTTGACTCAGCTTTGAAAATCTCAGCCCAAGGTGCCAACCAAATAAGTAAAAAGATATTTTGCATTTCTATGCAGTGCATCTATGTGGGGCTCCCCAAGCTTTTTACAAACATTAAATGAACCTCAGGATATCCCTGCTTTTCAGGAGAAATGTGGTGGTGAGGACACTCTGGGAACATCTCTCACTCTCTGTGTGTGATCTGCTTCTACTGTCCTTGGACCACCCTAGAAGGGCCCTTGCTGCCTCATTTCCAGTTCAGAGCAGGTAAAGTGTAAGTGGGTAGGAAGGGCTTATTTTCTGGCAGCAGGTTTGAGTGGCTTGCAGCTATGAAGATGTACCCACAATTAGTCACTGACCAGAGTGGGAACACAGTTGTCCTCACTTATTAACATGGCTCCAAGGTCCTACACTGTCTCTGCCTACGTGTTGTTCTCATGTCCTCTTGCTTTCCTAAATCTCACGAGAGTAGAGGATTCCCATCATGCCTCCTGGACTGCCGTCACCGGATAGCTGTCCTGGTTCTAAGGCTGTGCTTCTGACTCTTTCATGGCTCTTTTAGGGCGCACACCTAGAACTCCGGCTTTTCCTTCCTGCCCATTTTGCTGAATTGTGATTATTCCCACAGGGCAGCAATTTAGTTCAGTGGCTATGATTCGGCTTCTCATACAGAGGCAATGACTCTCACAAAGTATGGCATATTTTAGTAGGATAAAAACATTTTGAAGCCAAACAGAAAGCAATAAGCAGTCTTTACTCACATGAGCTTACCAGGTATCAACCACCTGCTACTTGGGTTCCTGGCAGGTACAGACACAAGTTTACTAGCACGTTGTTCCAGAGCGAGTCTCTGTGCCATAGCCTACATCAGATCTCAGATCTAGGGAGCCTGCCCCCGCCCCAGCCATAGGCTTGTCACGTTATACCAATCTACTGGTCGGTGCAGACCCGGCTGGGCTCCTCCCATCCCCAGCAGCACATGGGAAGCCAGCTTCAGATGCATTCCACTTTTACTGGCTGGTGCTGACCCGGCTGGGTCCATCCCATCTGGAGCAGTATGCAGCTGAAGCCAGCTTCCCACGAGCTACTGGGGACGGGAGGATCCCACTGGGTCTGCACCGGCCAGCAGAAGTGACGGTGGAGCTCGGTGCCCCCTCTTCCCACACGCACTGCGTTGGCAAAGTCAAGCTGACGCGATGCGTGTGGAAACCTTGTCCATTCCCCAGCCTGTCAGAAGCCATTAGGAAGCTGCTGAGGGGCTGCGGGAGGAACAAGGGGTGGGAATTAAAGTAAACCGTGTTTACCTTCATTTCCCATCGCAGCACCGTGGGACACAGAAAATGGCTTGGCGGGCCACATGTTGGACAAGCTTGCTCTAGGTGATTGTTCAGCATTACGCAATAGGGCGGTGCAAAGCTTTGGATCATAATTCAAATTTGGAGATGATTCAGATGATTTAGAGCTGAATCTATAAATCTGAATTGAATCTCTGGAAGCTTTAGGCTTTCTGAATCAATTCAGAAAAGATTACGAGTTACACACAACATGAGTTTTGCTTTCAGAATTTGAGGTGTAGTTTCCCAGAAATCCCTGCATCTATTATCTTTAAACTTGGCACATGTCATGCTCTCAGCAGAGGCTGTTATCTCTGCAAGTTTCATCTGAATCAACCAAAAGACAACAAAGTTATAGATATTTCATTGATTCCCCATTATACTCTATGGCTGAATCTCCGAACCTTCTGAAGCAATTCGGCTGAATTGAATCAGAAAAATGATTCGGATCTCCAAATCGTATCTCTGGCATCTGAATTGGCTGAATCCAAATCCGAATTGAATAGTTCCCTACTCGCACAGACCTATTATGCAATGACTTTTACTATTATGCAAGGACTTTGACACTTGGCAGGCTTTGTGGCCTCAGCAGGGGCTATCATCCCTGCAGTTTTCACCCCCTAAGAGTACCTAAGAGAGCAGTCTCCAGAAAGCAGCAGTGCAAGCTCTGTTTTCGGAGGTGTTGAAAATGAGACTGAAGAATGCAGTTGAGACACCTGGGACCTTATGACACTTCTCTATCTCTGACTTTTTTCAAGAAACCATCACTGTTAGGTGCAGCATGGATCCAGAGAAGTATATGAGGGACAGACAAGTGGGGATGCTGTGTGAGGCAGTTGAAGGAGATGACTAGGAACTGGAGTCCAGAATCTGTTCCTGTCTTGACCACTCTGAAACCGTGCATGAGCTACTTCCCCTCCCACAGCCTCAGTTTGCCTGTCTGCACCATGGGGATGCTACTTCACTTCCAAAGGATGAGGCTGTTGGGATCAGAACACAACACTATAGAAGGAAGCCCAATGTGATTAATGGTTTGGTTGGTGACTGACTGGGGCCTCTACTTATTGGTCCAAGCAGGATCAGAGAGGATGCTGTCTCCACATCACTTACCCAAAACCACCAGCTCTATGTAGAAGTAGCCAACTCTGATCTCTTCTTCTTCCTCATACATGGCTTGGCACATGAAGTGCCCTTCAGCAGCTGTCTGCAGGTCCCTCACCTCCAGGGTGCCATTTCTCAGGCTCACCTGCCCCAGGACCACAGAAGCCTTCTCTACCTTGGATTCTATCCCATTGCTGATAGCAACAGCCCTGGGAATGAGTGAGCCCTGCTTGGTGAAGCTCCAGAAAACGACCATGGGTGAGACCACGTCGCCACACGCCAGCTGTACGGAAAGGCCATGGACTCCTTTGACCATCTGCTCTTCATACTTTGCATCACCAGGGTGGAGCAGCTGAGCTAGGGGTGGACAAGAGAAAAAGCACAGTATAGTATAATGCTTCTCAACCTTTTTAGATTTATAGCACTCCCTTTTATTATGATTATGGAAAAGTAATAGAGCAATTTTTCTTTTGCAAAGAACTCAGAAAGACCACAGCAGGGCAGAATTTTTTAACATGTGGGGTTTATTCTTGTGAATCATGCTTGCACACCTAACCGTGCTAACGTTACATGGCATCTCATGGCACCCCTGTAAAAATCTCAAAGCACTCCGAGGTATAACATCATCCTACCTGAGAATCACTGGCACAGTGGTTATGGTACTAGCCTATGACATGGGTTAAATTCTTTATTTGGACCTAGACTTATTTGTGGGGAAGTCATTGGGCTTCTCTGGGCCTCGGTTTTTCCCCTTTGTATAGATGGGATCATAATACTTTCCTTGTATTGGGAGAGTTGCATTGTGGGAGGTATTTTGGTCATGGGAGGTGTTTTCAGTAGGTTTTCAAAGGCACAGAATTTAAATGGTGTGTTCCTTAATATCAAAGCTGTGTTTTTCTGGTACATGCACAAGTCAGTAGATAAGCAGTTCCCTCCCTGCTAAGTTCCCCAGGGGAGAGTCCCTATGGCTAAGAGCCTGACTGCCCTGCCAGTCTGACCCAGCATGTGAGCTAGAAAGTTCCCAGTTGAACATCTGGTGCAGCAGCATTCTCACATGCTTTGGACTTGCAGGTAAAACTCCTTCCTGTTCTTGACTTCCCACAGTACTACAGCTGGGAGTCCCTTGCTGCCCTCAAGAAAATACCGCTCCTGGGTATTTCACTTCAATTTCAGGTTTTTTCCTGGTGCATGTTTCCATGTGTTTCTCTGATACTGATAACCTGAAATGGATTATCACCAATAATCTTATGCTGGTCCTAATGAGAAGCCCATTGTCAGGGCTGGCTTCACAGACTTCTTTTGCCAGTCTGGTGTCTCATTCACCCTGGCCCTGCATGATGTACACCCATATACACCAACACAAGCTCAGTGTACAGCACTATGGAATCAGAGTGGGGCGCTGTTCATATGCCCGGCAGCGTTATCCATGTGGGGTTCCAAATATCATGAGTAAGACACCAGAAGATCATGGTGGCCCAACCTCAGCAGATTTTAAAATATTGAGTATATGTTATTTGTGCACATGCCTTTTGGTGTCACCTTTTCAAGCTTTTGTTTGCAAGCAGCAGACCAAAAGGTTTCTTTGAAATGTAAACTGAGATTTTTCACAAAATCACAGGGCCCCAGCAATCAGAGCCAACACACCAGCTGTTGTGGGTGAGACTCATTGTAAAATCACAGGAGTAAGATGCAAAGGGCAGGAGAATGCCACTTCATAGAAATATTTAGCTAGTCACTGGAGCAGGGCCTTGAAACTACATCTCTCACATCTCAGGGCAGTGCCCCAGCCAGTGGGGCTGGCTCTTGATTTCAGGAGATTAAGTAGAACCTTGTAGTTCGAATCACAGCTCAGAGCAGTCCAGGGCACTGCATGCAGGCTGTGATGCTCCAGCACAAACCAGTAGAGCCCAGCTGGTATTTGGTGATCAGTACACATTGGAAGAAAATATAATGGCTGCAAACATCCCTCACGCTCCTTAAGTGCCTCTGAGAGACTCAGCGGGTTACGTTCTTTGGTGAGATTCTTTACCCCTGCAGGGCTCCCATCTTCTTTAATGGGAGCTGACAGTATCCCACACCTCTAACAGCCAGGTCATTTTAACATTAAGGTTTGAAGGCATGGACCACCATGACACAGGGACAGTGGTCCTGGCCACTGGTGCCCATTACAATCTCAGGGGTTGCATGTGCACCCGCATGCGCTCCCTACTCGTCACCAATGCTGCCACCTCACCTGCACCACTGTGACTTGACACTAGAGGCTTGGTGAGCAGGGGCAGGACGAAGAGCTAGGGGAAGGACATACTTGCTGCTCCCACCAGGCAGAGCAAGTGCTGCTGCCCTGGAGTGCCTGGCAGCTGCGGTGCCTCCCACCACTGCTTGGACCGGCTCTGCACCTGCTGGGAGCAGAGCAAGCCAGTGTGAGCAGGGGGGCACCACCTCCCCACTGCCGCTCACACTGGCTCTGCTCCCACTGGGAGCAGAGGGAGCCAGTCTGAGCAGGGTCTGGGGCGAGCCAGTATGTGTGGCAGTGGGCAGGCATTGCCCCCTGGCTCAGATCAGCTCCCTCTGCTTCTGCTGGGAGCAGAGCTAGTGTGAGCAGTGGCAGAGAGGCGATACCCCACCCCATTCAAACTGGCTCACTTTCCTCCCAGTGGGAGCAAAGCCAAGAGCACAACTGGTGAGAGTGGCAGTGGGAGGCACCATGGTGCCAGGTGCTCCTGGGCTGTGGTATTTCCTCTGCCAGACATCCCTAGGAGGTGAGGTGCTGTGCACAACCCACTGTGCCCCACCATCCTTGCTCACCCACTGCCTCCTGGGATGCTGGAGGACTTCAACTTGGGCAGAAAAACTGTGGAGACTGGCCACAAGTTAATGGAACAAGAGCAAAATTAGAGATAATCCTGCCCTGGAGTGGCATAATGTTAAGCCTAATAGCAGGTGCTTTAAGTCATTTAAAAGGTGTTAATGTGCAGCCAATCAAAGGGTTCAAAGGTCCAGAAGCCACCTAAAAGTACTGCATAACAAGGCCCTCAGAGAAACAGACTGTCATCCACCCCAGTCCAGCCAGTAGCCAAGACGTTTACCTGGAGGATGAGACACCCAGGATCCCCTCTCTGCTCTGTGAGGGGTGGGCCTTCACCACTGTGCTATTCTGAGGGTGCTTCTCCTCTGAGATATCTTCCTTTGCATCAATAATTAAATAGTCAATTGGGGCAGAGACAGAAGAGGGTGGATACCACCCACTGGTTAGGGAATCCCCCTGGGATGTGGGAGACCCAGTTTCAAGGCCCTACTTTACTGAATAATTAAATATTACTATGAAGTGGAGCAGCTCCAACTTTACAGTCTAAGCGCAGAAGAGTTAAAATACAGTGACCCAGCAGGGACTTGGATGTAGGACTCCCACAAGCTAGGGAAGCACCCATACCACTGGCTATGGACCCTTCTGGAATAGGCAATGGCTGGTATCTCTCATCCACAAGAAAGTCTTCCAAAGGTCTTAGGTTTGTCTTCATGCAAAATAGGAAACCTGAACTCTTGGAAACTCCTGCAGAACAGGAAGGGTGTTCTAGATCTCTCTAGATCCTTCACCTGCCTCACAGGGTATCAGGTAGCCTGATTTAATTTTATAAGGGTCCTTGAGATACAGAGGAATGGCCAGTCGGTGTCAGCCCAGGACTCCATAAAACCGAACCCCTGTCTCTAGTGTAACCAGGACAGAGTCCAGTCATGCGGGCCGTTCCAGCCGGGAGAAGAGTGGAATCCAATGGAGCACTGGAAGGCTTCAAATCAAAGTGCCAACTCGCAAAATAACCCTGTTTCTGCCCTGTTCTAGCCCCGCTATTCATGCTAGTTGCCTGCCATGTTAAACCTTTCATTATTTGTCATTTGTGAAACAAAACAAAAGATGGCCTGGAGCTAGAACATAGGTCTACAACTTCTTCAGCTACATGTTGTTCTTTCTTTTCAAGGGCCCTTCATTACAGCCCTGAACATCTTTGCTTTGTCTTTGCTTCAGAAAACAGCCTAACAAATAATGTTTTTGCCCTGTTGATAATTTGCTGAATTACACGAGTCTTAAACCTTCTTGGGGAACAGGGGCCATGTCTACACGAGATGCTGACTGTGCAGTTGTTACTCCACAATCATTTAGTACTTGTACAAACAAGTACTAAATGACTGTGCAGCAACTGGAATGATTGTTGCTGCCAATAGCACCAGCGAACGGCTTTTTTGTGATGCTGACTGTGCAGTAGCCCCAAACTCCTGAGCAGTAACATCATGTCATGCTCTCTGCCACGCGACACTACTGCGCGGTAGTCACGGGTTGCTGTGCAGTTAGTGTCTTGTGTAGATGCAGCCAGGATGTATCTTTTACAATTAAAGAAGTGATCCCTCCACTTTGGCCATCATGGTAGCCGGCTCCTTGGAACAGACTCTCTGAAAGGCTCAGGCAAGTGGTATTTCCACAAGATTCCTCAGGGATTGGTCCTGACATCACAAAACCACAACACATATGGCAGGATCAGCAGTGGAGCTGAGAGCAGAGGGAATGGGCTCCAATCTCAACCCAGCAGAACGCAGCATCGAGAGAATCATAGAAAATCAGGGCTGGAAGGGACCTCAGGAGGTCACATCTAGTCCAACCCCCTGCTCAAAGCAGGACCAACCCCAACTAGATCATCCCAACCAAAGCTTTGTCTAGCTGGGTTTTGAAAACATCCAAGGATGGAGTTTCCACCATCTCTCTGGGTAACCTGTTCCAGTGTTTTACTACCCTCCTAGTGAGAAAATTCTTCCTAATATACAACCTAAACTCCCCTTGCTGCAACTTGAGACCATTGCTCCTTGTTGTGTCATCTGCCACCACTAAAAGCAGTCTAGCTCCATCCTCTTTCGAAACCCGCTTCAGGTAGTTCAAGGCTGCTGTTAAATCCCCTCCCTCCCAAGTCTTCTTTTCTCTAGACTAAATAAGTCCAGTTCCCTCAGCCTGTCCACATAAGTCATGTCCCCCAGCCCTCTAACTGTTTTTGTTGCCCTTCACTGGACTCTCCAATTTGTCCACATCCTTTCTGTAGTGGGGTACCCAAAACTGAACACAGTACTCCAGATGTGGCCTCACCAGTGCTGAATAGAGAGGAACAATCACTTCCCTTAACCTACTGGCAACACTTCTACCAATGCAGACCAGTATGCCATTAGCCTTCTTGGCAACAAGGTCACACTACTGGCTCATATCCAGCTTATTGTCCACTGTAACCCCCAGGTCCTTTTCTGCAGAGCTCTGCAGAAAAGCCCCCAGCCAGTACTGCTGCATGGGATTGTTCTGTCCTAAGTGCATGACTTTGCACTTG